TAAGGAATCAACAATGGGGTAGAAAAAAAGGAACTATTTAAAGCTGAACAGCTCTGAGATAAAACGATGTGATGGTTGACTCAAGTCCGGATGTCGAGGAAGTACACAATGTCTATTTCGACCATAATATAAACAGATATATGGCACTTCACCCCGGGTAATCAGGTGCGTCAGAAATGCGGGAATAAAAATGCACGGTATTTGAACTGTTTTTAACGCGGAAACAAAAACGTCCTCAACGAATTATTTGCACATCTCTCTGTTCCAATATACTTTTAAGACCCCTAGTCGTCAATGGCAGTGTCTAAACCTTTCGTCCCACAAACATGTCTAGTTGAAACCTACATGACAAGTTGTCATGAACATGACACCATGCCAGAGATGTTGTTTCTATAAACAGTGTAACATTTTCTCCTAGTAACATGACACTGGTTGGTAATGGAGTTTCGGGAACACGTGCAGTGCTGTTTGGTACTTGGTTCAAATCAATGCATTTGTAAGGGGGATAGTTGCAGAAGGTTACAGGAAAGAACAGTTGCTAGGCAACGAGTGGTAGGTGTATGAGGTATGAGACAGTATGGGCACATTGCATTACAGACAATTTTATCCGACTCAAGGGATTCGAACCGGTACCTAATCGAGAAGTGTACGCGTTCTAACGCGTCCAAACATATTGGAGCGCTTCAGTCACAAGGCTGAGGATACCACGCACAGCCTACTTATACACGTCAAGTGAGAAAGATGGGTTTTAAGGCGCTTTTAACGATATTCTAACAATGTCACCATGTGTGACACCACTAATGAGCTTCTTATTAAACACAATTGTGTCTAATGTGGGAATCGAACCCTGGTCTTTGACGTGACAAGCGAACGCCTTAACCACTAGGCCTACCTACAACTGCTGCTGCGGCGTCTATTACTATTGCTGCTATTATTATTATTATTGTTATTTACAGATTAAAATAAAAAAATCAACAAAGAGGGTTTGTGTGATCCTGGCACAGTCAGGCTGGTTAGGCTCATCATCAGCTCAGGGCCCTTGCCCCCTCTACACGCAGCCCAGACAGCGAATGGGACTTCCCCCAGGAAGCGCTGCCTTGTCAAACCCACCCAGAACTTTTCAGAGAATGTGAAAACTCCCCAACACTGCAACACTACAACTACTACTACCAACGGTACTACAAACACGGCAACAAACAGTGTTGGCTGGACTTACGTATGTTTTCACAAGGGATGCTTCCACAAAGATTTTTAAATATATGATTAAAGTAATAATTTTCCGCTATATAGTGAAACAAACATCTGTGTCCCAAAGATGTATATATTCGTCGAATGTATCCTTAAAAAACAGACATTAACACACGTGACACATATACACACAAGCGACAAAGAGTGGGGTTTATGTCGTTATAGAAACGTAAACTTGACCTTTCTGAATACGCGAGTGAGGGTTATTTTACGCCACATCCAGTGACATTCCAGCTATAACACGTAGTAGTCAAGTCGTGTCAGGGGAACCAGTGGTTGATAGCATGAGCACAGATCCACTTGCGGCATATAAATCATCAAAGTCACACATTTCAACCAGCCGATCCTTTTTGTCGGCTCTCATGCATGGAAGAATGGGATGCCGGAGGCCTATTCTACCACGGAATCTCCACGGGGGCGCTTGATAAATGTGATTGTCGTATGGCAATAAAATTAGCTTGACGAGACACTTCTGTCAATATCCGTGACAGGATTGCCTAACAGTAATTATGCTCCGATATACTCTTCTAAACACGTTATTTATAGCTATGAATTTAAATATGCAGCAATTACAATTTTCCTGTCACCCATTTAAGTTAAAGGCATCAGAGTGAAGTGAACACCAAGTTACTTTTCAAAAGTCACGTTAACGTTTATATTTCCCAACAACACGGTATACCGTAACAAATATTATGTTTGGGACAACACTGTCTTAGTAAATTACAGATTCTCGTCCTTTTTTAGGGTTGAGTCCCTTCCGGGATTCGAACCCACACTTGCCCGAGTAAGGCAACTAATCCCGGACGGGACTCAACCCAAAAAAGGACGAGTATCTGTACTTTACTAAGAAAGTGTTGTCCCAAATATAACATTTGTTACATATGACCACTTTCTAAATGGCATTGTGAATTTATAACACGGTATACTGTTTTATTTAATTCAAAGTATTTCACCAATATAAATATTTGTTGTCCACTTCTTCACGTTCCCTGCGAACATGTGGGTATTGTCAAAATGCATGAATATTCATGAGCATGACACGGATTACAGACATGTATTGTCAACTGTCAGTCAAATAACACATGCTTGTATATAGCAGAATGAAATGCGCATGTATGGGGAATGTCACTTGGGATTAATGTGTACATGCCAGATGCACACACGCGATAATTTCTACAATGTTAAACGTGCACTTGACACTTATTTACCCTACCCTATAATATATTGGAATTAGCGTAAGGTTTTCAAGGGCCAGTTCTGGAATGAATAAATTAATCTTGTTACGTTTTCGCATTAACATATATTACCATTTTCTGTCTTTGATTCTTTTCGACCGTTGATGCTAACACCATGCATAGGATGCAAAGCAATGTCAACGTTGATATATTTTTTAGAAATCTTGTCATAAATGCTGCACACACACACACACACACACACACACACACACACACACACACACACACACACACACACACACACACACACACACACACACACACATATATATATAGTTTTGGTTTAATATTATGTTTTAAAGCCGTGAAAACACAATCCTTGAGTAACTTAAGCATCATTATATATTTCAAAATGAACGGCTTTTGAAAAACCAAGTTTAAATTATTTCATGTTGAAATCGCTTAATCCTGTTGCCTGAGACCTAATTAAAAAGTGAATGTACAGTTATGTTCTTGTAGAGAATACACATGTTTATGTCGATACATATTAATTACATTATTGACTTACATATGTCTTTGATTACATATGACATTAATTTAAACTTACATATGTCTTTGATGCATCGTACACCTAAATTGCCAACACGCATGCTATACATTCTTTCACAGTGGTGTACAATTCGTTACAGCTGTTTACAAAATTTGAAATTACTTTATGTGCAATTGGACAAGGTTACACTCACAGTGATTGAGACTGACATCGGACTTTGAGTGTAAATGATGAAATAAGACATTTAACGATGACCACACGTTTATGAAATTTGTATTTGTTTTTAATTTTAATTTAGATAATAACAGATAACATTACAGGACACGATACCAAATAATGAAACACAAATATAACTATTATGGATAATATTGAAAGGCTGACGAAATGATAGAAACAGAAATTCTGCAAAACATCACACATATATACAACCCTTAACATTCTTATAATTAAAAATCTTAAGCATTTTGAACAATTTCAAATAAACATTTTACAAAATAGTAGTCAGGCGTTATACAAAACACTAAAGTAAATTAGGATAAATAAACAATATATCGTTATATGTATTTGCCTATATATAGATCACAGTCCTTGTGTCTATGACGTCATGAGAATATGCATATAACAGTGATCTGTGTTGCTGATGGAGGACCAAACTCGAGGCTAACTGCTGACCCCAGCCACCCCACACAAAGGCTCCCGTTATGTATGCGTGGTCACAGTCGGACATTCTCCGTTAGCTAAGGGTAGTTTGTCCTCTAGGTCAATCAAGGGATCGACCAAACTGCATTGTTTATATTCCCGCGAATGACAATGCATAAGACTTGTACATTACAAGTGTCAACGGAAACTTTGCTACAGATAGAGGAATGTGTTACGTCGACTTGCGAGTCGGTTGCATAACAGACCTGACCTTTCAGTCCAAATGTCTATTTATTTCTATTAATAATTCTTTTAACCTAATACTTACAGTTTTAAAAGGTTTAAATATTTTGATCGCATTTTATAGAATCTTTTAAAATAGACCATTGTTAACCATTACATCACACATCTGAACTTTATGGGTATCCGCTGAAGCTGTTCTACCTATCGATATACATGTATATGATACATGTATTGTCATTATAATCATGAACATTTATTAGATTTATGAGACGAATTCAACATTTCTAATTATATGCAAATGAAAAAGGTTGAACAGTTTGAAGAAATAAATTAGGACTTAAATGGCAATTATTTCATTGTAGATTTCATTCACGTCACAGCTGTAATATTACAACGAGCCGATTTCATAATCACGTGAGGATTAAATTTGCTGTTTAATTTCTTCCCAGTATTCTCAACACATATACGTAAGAGTATACATTATAAGCATTGTGACAGTAGAAACTATCACTGAGAACCTGTACTTATCATACATAGTGCAATATTACCTTGCACCGAACACCAGAGAACAGTTAAAAGATTGTCATCTTTGAATCTGTATAAAAAAATAGTTTGCTATTTATATGTGTGTATTTCAGTTTGACAGACACATTATACGGACATTTGAAGAACAAAGAAATCTACACATAATATTCTCTCTAATTTCGCACAATACTATGAGGTATGTTTCCAGGGTATATTTCATGTATTATACAGCCAATGTACACATGTACACTCACTGCAAAACAAATGTCAATATATTTCCTCATATCTCTTCCCAAGACAGATATAAGTTCTCCACACATCTCTCTCTAAACGAAAGACAGAACTCAACTTTTAGCTTCAAATAATATTTTATATGATATGCATGGGATACTATTTACAGGAGTTAGTCTTCACCTTAATTTTGCCAGTTACCTTACTGTCATACGTTAACGAAACGAAAAACGAAAACAGCCGTGAAGATGTAGCAGTTTAAATGGGGGCTACCATCCACATCTGAGTTTCAATACACGTTACAAAAGTCGTAATCATCAACCCGGGTAAGGGTAGCGATGCTGAGACAAAACACCGATGACATGAAGAAATCAACTTGCAATACTTACTATGCAAACAAAACCAGCGTCGCACATGAACACTCCCTGCAAGTGTACGTGGGGAGATTCGGCGAATGTACGTATAATCCGAAATTCTGAGCCCCAATATTCTCACTCTCTTCGTTTATCCCCACTAGAAATGAAATTCTAACTTGGTAGGCTTGGGAATTTATACAGCGACGAATTGCAATCCAAATAGACAATAATGAACAATGCGAAATACAGGCAGATATGCACATGAATATTTCGTACACACGAAAAAATCCGAATTCGTTTGTGCCTTCAGCATAATTTTCAAGTTAGGATAATTGGGGGACTGGTAATGTATGAATAATCACAGTTCATGAATCGGCAAATCATGATTTGTGATGCAATTTCATGCAAATCAGATTTCTCCCCATCTTTTCGTCTTGAGTCCCCTAATTTTACTACAAGCTGATTAGATTTATTCAAACGGAACAGCTCGTTGGTACAATTAAATGCTAAATTCCCACAAACATTTCAATACTTTTCCCGTAAACCGCAAATCTTTTTCGTTAATTCTGACTAAATCGCTCATCGAGACTTACTAATAGTCCCTTCCATTTTAATATTCATAAACAAATCACGTATTCCATATCCCGTCTGATCAAATGCATATTGAATAATAAATAAAACTTACGTATATATGAAAGAACAATTTACGTTTGTCCTTCGAACGAGTAGAGTGGACGTCTACCAAAAACTTTCATAGCATCCCCTTGACGTGTATGTTTCTCTACTAAACCAATGGGGTATCTATCAATACACTAACGGGCACAATGTTAACATTATCAATTTATGTTCAATACGTTCCTACTGAATGATAAAGAATGATTTATTAGATACACGAGCGACAAACGTGAGTTTAAACCACTTTCTTATCTCATAGAAAATGGTATCGCATATGCGCTTCCTTGTGCAAAATTCATCGCCTCACATTCACGAGTCTATTAAACACATTGCTATTTTTTTTGTTATTATTTAATATACTTCTAAGTGCAAGAGTTCCGTGACTGATCAGATTTAATATTTTATTGTTCAAGATGAAAAATAAACTTTGATATTGCTATAAAATGTGTAGCTATGACAAACAAAACTATTTATGGACTTTTAAATTTTATGACTCTATATTATATATTAATATACTGGTCATGTTTGATAACTGATCAGGCCGTTATCTATTCGCAACCATCTATCCAAATATACATTTTTGGGGTGATCATATTGGCCATAAACGATTAAATATTCAGGATGGATTGATAATGAATGAAGGTCCACGCATGGAATCACATGATAAGCTTTTGTAAAGAGGCCTTTGTCGGGAGCAAAAGCGTTTAACCTAACCATGCAGAAACACCACACAGCCGTGTGCAGGATTGAGCAGTTTTCATTCAAAAGGATTAAGTCAACGTGTCACAGATGTTTTTAACAACATGGATATTATTTTAGAAAAAAAGATAAAAACGTTAGAAGCACAATATATCAAAATATCAAAGACATTTATCTAACTATAGTGTTTTTAATTGTAAAGGTCAATAGAATATCAACTAAACAAGAATAATCAGTTGCAATCAATTTCAAAATGTTTTACGACACTTGTATCTTTATAGATGTATATTTCATGTTAATTTCGGATCACGTTAGTTGAAATAATGTTTTCTGATACATTTAAGCTGAAACAAACGGATTAAAATATATTTCTCTGGAATCATTGGTTTTGTTTTCACGCGGCTGTTTAAATGTAAAAATGAGTTGAACCAGACTCGGGGAGGCTAAACAGTCACGCCTTGCCCATTTCAAACAATAATGTCAATCAAATACTTTCTGATAAATACCTGACCCGACTACGTAAACCACCTACATCTTGCGTACATGTGCTAAATATTTTTTTGTAGATTTTCAGTGAAACGAGAGGCGTTTCTACCTCACATGCACTCCACATGCCAACGAGCCAGAAAGGTTACCCACATTTCACGTGAAATCTAGCCATTGCTATCCTTATGAACCATGTGTCACAGATTAAATAACCTCTTTTGTTTCTGAGAAGTATGTTCAAAACGTAAAATACGGTCTAAATCTCTATGCGTAGTATCGACTCAGTTAAAATAATACTGGTGTTGAATTAGTGTCATTTTTATTTGTCTATCAAACAACAATTTATTATTATTTCTGTTTTACATGGAAATAATCATTTAAAGTTTGTTTGTTTGTTTGTTGTTTAACGCCGTACCCAGCAATATTCCAGCTATATGACGGCGGTCTGTAAATAATCGAGTCTGGACCTGACAATCCAGTGATTAATATCATGAGCATCGATCCACGCAATTGGGATCGATGACATGCATCAAACCAAGTCTGCGAGCCTGACCACCCGATCCCGTTAGTCGCCTCTTACGTCAAGCGACATTAAAGATATTAACATACTTGATTTGTTAATCTCTGACACTGTTCCATAACGCATGTTCTTGCACTTAAGAACTTAGTCAGTGACCGAGTTTATAAATCAAATAGATAGTAATCAGATTTTGGATTTTGCAGATGTTCCACAAAACACACGTGTTGCGATAATCATACATTGGTGTTAATTGATGTCAGTTTCAAGTTCTGAAATATACATCTTTTGTATATATACATGTTTATATATCTATTCTATTACTTCATGCATATATCTCATGACTAGGTAATGAAACTCGTTGTATAGTATTGCTATACACTATATATTTGATTGTAGATAGCTGATACCAACGTCACAGCAATCTAAATTCATAAATTACGCGTACCCCACATAATGATTGACAGGCACGTGATGCTGGGGATCTACTTTCCGGACAGGTGTTTGAATAAACACATGTGTCCCTTCATTAACGCTATCCAGGGAGCATATTAAATGTGAAATGAACATCTCAAGAGACGTCACTGAAGCTCAGCAGATTGTCCCGAATTCGAGAACCCTTGCCTTATTTACCCATCCCATGTGCGACGGCAGGGAGCCACCCTCTTTCCACGGAGTGAACTCACTGCTAGGGCAGGCCTGTTTGTTTTAGAGCACTGAAATCTAGATTCGGATTAATTTAACCTAAATTGGAGCCTCCACAGCGGTAGCGATTCATGTAGGAATTGCATTGTTTACTTTCAGTCATACTGTGATGTTGTTTCTATTTTTGACAAAACGTTCATGTTAGGATATAGAAAGAACAGTTTTGTTATGGGCGTGGCTCCCAATACCGAGACTTGTCAGTTCTAAAATTAACAATCAAGTGATGTCCATTCTTAGCAGTAATACAGTGCATGTTTTGTTTTAATTGTAAATGGTATCTTAAGATCCTTTTACATTTTTTAACACGCACTTTTGTAAAATACATACCGTATTGTCTATTACAATTAATGACCCTGACGAAGGACGTTTCATAAGGACGTTGAGTTATGGCTTCTCGTGTATGACAAAAGGCAGCCTGTGTGTTAGTAAGCACATGTGCTACACGTGACAGTGACACGATATATCTTTTCTGAAATTGACATGCTATGAATTACGACGAGATGGGTTTATAACAACCAGGTTATAATGAGAAGAAACTACGGGTTCTAGCCACAGTCGTTATCCACGAGGGTTAATGGAGATAGGGATGCATGCAATAATGGGCTGATTTGTTTGTCTTTACAACGCTTGTACCTCAACCTTCTCCCTTGAAGGAGATTCATTTCTCCACATTCACACGTGGTTCACGACCACGCTACACTCAAACATGCCTTAACCACGCTATACTTACACGTAGCTTAATACGCTATACTTACACGTGGCTTAGCAGGCTACACTTACAGGTGGCTTACTACGCTATACTTACACGTGGCTAAGCAGGCTACACTTACAGGTGGCTTACCACGCTATACTTAAACATGGCTTGTCACCCTCCACGCTATACTTACATATGGCTTACCACACTACACTCACACGTGGCTTACCATGCTACACTTACACGTGGCTTACCACGCTATACTTACACGTGGCTTACCATGCTACACTTACACGTGGCTTACTACGCTATACTTACACGTGGCTAAGCAGGCTACACTTACAGGTGGCTTACCACGCTATACTTACACATGGCTTGTCAGCCTCCACGCTATACCTACACGTGTCTTACCACGCTACACTTACACATTGCTTACCACGCTACACTTAAACATGCCTTAACCACCCTCCACGCTATACTTACACGTGGCTTACCACGCTATACTTACACATGGCTTACCACCCTCCACGCTATACTTACATATGGCTTACCACACTACACTCACACGTGGCTTACCATGCTACACTTACACGTGGCTTACCACGCTATACTTACACGTGGCTTACCATGCTACACTTACACGTGGCTTTCCATGCTATACTTACACGTGTCTAACCAGGCTATACTTACACGTGGCTTAGCACGCTACATTTGCACGTGGCTTACCACGCTACACTTACACGTGTCTCACCACGCAACAATTACACGTGGCTTAGCACGCTACACGTATACGTGGCTTACCACGATACACTTATACATGGCTTATCACCCTCCACGCCATACTTGCACATGGCTTACCATTCTCCACGCTACACTTACAGGTGGCTTAGCACGCTACAATTACACTGTCTTAGCACGCTATACTTAAACGTGGCTTTCGACGCTACACTTACACGTGGCTTACCACGCTATACTTACACATGGCTTATCACCCTACACGCCATATTTTCACATGGCTAACTATCCCCCACGCTATACCTACACGTGGCTTACCACGCTACACCTACACGTGGCTCAGCAGGCTACACTTACACTGGCTTACCAAGCTATACTTACACGTGGCTTACCAGGTTATACTTACACATGGCTTACCCCCCTCCCCCCTCAACCCTATACTTGCACAAAGCCTACCACGCTACACTTACACATGCTTTACCACCATCCATGCTTTACTTACACACAGATATCACACTCCACGTGGCATGTGTAAGTGTAGCGTGGAAGGTTGTAAAGTATGCGTAAGTGTAGCGTGGGGGGTGGTAAGGCATGTGTAAGTGTAGCGTGGAAGGTGGTTAGGCATGTGTAAGTGTAGCGTGGAGGGTGGTCAGGCATG